CGCCTTCACGGCCCGCAGATGCGCCTCACCTGGACTTGCCCACGCCACTCTCGCCGATGATGAGAATCTTCAGGGTGGTCAGCACGTCCTCATCCATCCTGACCCTGCTCCGCTCCGCTCCCAGCTGCCCGCGCCGGTCCGCCCCTCAACTCTTCCCCCGGCGGAGCTGTCCGCGCATGCGCCCCGCCGCGCCACTGCCACCTTCCTTTCGCACCGGGTGTTTAGGAAGCAGGAGCCCCGGGCGCGGGGAGGTTCCGCCCGGAGGTAGCTCTGCGTCTGCGCAAACCCAGAGTCCTAGGCGTCTCTCCGGAGAGGTTACGTCCTCCCTGGCGCAAGCGCAGAAGGAGAGAGCCGTGCGTGGGTTCAGCGGCCTCGCCGCCTGTTCCTCCGCCCCCGCCCCGACTTAAGCCTCCCTCCGCGGTGCACGTACTTGGAAAGGGACTGAGTCAGGGAGTATAGTACTGTTTTATTTCAGCAGCTGCTCCTTTTGTGCTTGAAGGTAGGTTATCTTAATTTCATATCCCACCTACCGTATAACCTCTTTATATTACCTAGACTTCTGATCCTGTATCCCACAGTCGAGGGCAATAATACTGATTACAATACAATAATAATACCGGCTTCTTAGAATTGTCATGAAGATTAAGTTAATTTGTGATGGCACTTGTAAACTCCAGTGCCCTGTAAAATATGTGGTAGGGTATTATTAACCTGGCTTCTGCTCTGTTAAATGGATGAGTACCCTTCCCACCTCCGTTCATCTTTAAAGAGAGATCGAAACCTCGGGTAGATAGGTGCATACAAAACTCTGGTGGTGCGACTTCAGATCTACTGTTACACCCAATTGTACACGTTTTGTCTTCTTAGCGAGTTGTGAACCTTAGAGAAGGTACCAGACCTCAGGTGTAAAAATTAGCAAAGTACCTGGTACATGGCAGACACTAAATAAACATTAGTCTCCCGTCTTACCTTCTTATACTTGCAGCTAATGCCAGATACAGTAGACACTTAATTGAAGAGTACATATTAATAAAGTTTAAAATAAATTAAGGAAGAGGGAGGGTGTAGCTCAGTGGTAGAGTGCATGCCTAGCATGCATGAGGTCTTGGGTTCAATCCCAAGTACCTACACTAAAAAATTAATAAATCTAATTACCCCCTCAAAAAAATTAAAAAATTAAACACATTTTAAAAAAGGAAAAACTCTTCATCAGATACCTAAATGACTCCTTCACCCTCTTTGCTCAAACGTTGCCTTCTTACTGAGGCCTTCCCAGCACCTACTCCTCGAAATTGGCAAATCCTTCCAACATTGCCTGTAACTCTTGGCGTTGTTCTGCATATCACGCACTGCCCTCCAATATACTGTATATTTTACTACTTTACTTGTTCACTACCTGATCTTCCTCCAAAGAAAAGTGAAGCTTCATGAAGGCAAGGATTTTCTTTTTCTGCTTCGTTTGTTATACCCTCTGGGTCTAGAGTATTCCTGGCACATAATATGTGCTAAATAAATAATTGTTGAATGGATGAACGGAACTTCTAGAGCCCATTCCTAACTTTGGAAGGTCATGTCAACCAGACAACCTCAACTTCTCTTAAAACAGCCCTTGAAACCTCAATCAAGTCTATCAGGCCTACTTTTGACCATGGTATCAAGAGCTTATGGTGGGGGGGATAGCTCAAATGGTAGAATGCATGCTTAACATGAATGAGGTCCTGGGTTGGATCCCCAGTACTTCCAAGAATAAGTAAATAAGTAAACCTAATTACCTCCCCCCACAGAAAAAAAGAAGAGAAAAAAAATAAGCTCATTAGTGAGACTCACAGTACTGTCACGCTCTCCCACTCTGGGGCAGTGATCCTCAAAGTGCAGTCCTCAGACCCCTAGACTAGAAATCCCCTTCAGAGATCAAACTATTTTCACAATTACTCAAAATGCTGTTTCCTTTTTTCACTCTTATTCTCTGATACTACAGCAGAGTTTTCCAGAGGCTACATAAAGTGTGACAGCAAAACGCATTGAAGGCAGAACCAGATCTGAGAATTCAGCTATTTTCTATTAAGCCAAGATTAAATAGGTTTGCAAAAATGTAAAATAATGCCACTCTTTTCACTACTTATTTTCATAAACATTTTTATTAACTAGTGAACGGTTTATTATTTTTAAGATGGTTTAATACATATGTTTAAAATTTTCTCAGTTCCAATTTCTAATAGATATTAATAGTCATGGCCACATAATCAGCTCTTTCAAGTCCTCAATAATTTGTAAGCGTGTGTAGTATTTTGTATAACCAAAAATTTTGAGAACTGTAGCATGGTACTATTTACACCAAGATAAAAAAAATTTTAATAAATTTTTAAACACCAAGCCTGCATGTATTGATGCTGCATGTAACATTGTTGACCTACTTTGGCAACCCTATATTCTCTTGGATTTCCTCCTACCTCTTGGCCACTTCTCAATTTTTTGCAAGATCTTCCTGTTCACCTTTTAAGCATATGTGTTCTTTGGGTTTCATCCTAGTTTTATCTTCTTATTCGACACACATATTGTCTTCTTAGACTTTCTCAGCTTCCTCATCCCACTAACATTGAGGAGTCCCAAAGTTACATCTCTGGCTGAGATTTCCCCCCTGAAGTTGAGACCAACATACACTGCCAAGAGAACCCCACGTGGCTCTGCCCAGGTGCAGAAGCCTAAGCTAAATGTGACTCACGCTGAAGGCTTGTGACCCCTATACTGGCTTTTTCTCCCAATTTCCTTTTCAGGGAATGATATTAACACCCGCCCAGCTTTCTCCGCCTCACCACCCACCTCCACGCATGTAGTCCTCACAGTTCTCCTCCTGAGGCATCCCTGAAATGCATCCACGTTCTTCATCTCTACCACTGCTGCTGCAGTCAGGTCATCACCATCATTCTTTTGCTGGACCATCTACCTGACTGGCCTTCCTGCCTCCATTCTTCTCTCCTCTCAGGCTCTTCTCCACCCTGCAGCCAAGGCAGTATCCCTGAAATGCAAACCCAGTCCAGTTACCTGTTCCACATGCTGCTCACTGCCCTTCCAACTCTTATCTTATCATAAGCCCTGATTACCCCTCCAACCTCATCTCTTGCTATCCCATGCCTTGCACTCTGTGTTCTAGCCAAATTAAACTCCTTTCCTGTTTTCAGTGAGCCATATTTTGCTTGTCTCCAGGACCCTGTTGGCCCTTCTGCCTGAGTTGGCTTCCGGCTCCCACTCCCTGCCGCATCCCTGCATGTACACACACTTCTGTTTCGGCAGTTCCTACTCATCCTCCGTGTTCCAACTTCTGGATCCCTTTCTCTGGGACGATCTCCCTGGCCTCCCAGATCAGCATTACATGCTCCCCTTATGTGTTCTGTCCTATGCGTCTATTGTGGTCTATACTCCACAACATTATAACTGCTTATTTCTCCTACTAGACTGTGTGCTTCTTGAAAGCAGAATGGATTAGTGTCCTGTTCATTGTTCTGTCTCCAGCATGTACTACAATGCCAAGCATAGAGCAGTGGCTCCAAAAATATTTGCAAATATAAAAACCTCACATCAACCTCAGGAATATGGAGTGGTGTAGTCTGCTTATTTATTTGCTGCTTATATAGGTTGGGGTGTCTCTTGAATCTCTCTCTTGAACATTATGGGGGGGGAATCTCCTCAAGAATTCTTAATGCACAACCTCTACCAGGTACTGCTAGAAAAGGAAGCAAGCATTCATGCACAGATAAGACAAGGTAGTATTTTTTGTGCTAAATAGGTGATACAGACAATAAATGCTCCAGAAATTCAGACAAGAGCGGTTGATCACTGAAGCTTAGAGCCGCCAGGAAAATCTTCATGAAACCAGCAGGACTTAGAAGGGGTACAGTTTAGACAAGTACAAGAAAGGGAGTGACTCTTCAGGCAGAATGAACCGAGTATAAATAAAGACAACAGGATGACACGTAATATATGATCTTCTAGTTGGATAAAGCTGGCTATGTCTAGGAAATATCAGGGAAGGGCAGGAGTAAGGCATTGTGGACGACAGTCTCCTGCCATTTCAATAAGCAAAGGATGATGTGGCCACAGAGCCACCTGCAGGGCACCCCGAGGGGACTCAAGATGGAGGAAAACAGGAGACTGGCCCTAGATAGTTAAGGTGCACGTCAAAGGAATCATCTCAATACTCCCAGACTCTTGCATCTTCCCATACACAGAAAAGCGCGAAATTCATTACCTTGAGATGTCTACTTCTTTAATTAGCAGTAATCTTTTGATGTTTGACTACCTATTTTTGTTTTGTTTTTTGTTTGTTTGTTTTTTGCAAAAACTTCTATATGTCCTGGCTCTTCCCTTACCTCTTTGGAACAGTCTCTCGGAGCGATCTGAGAGGCTGTATCAGGGCTTATGCAAGTCCTCAGTAAGTCCACTAAATAAAACGTAATTCTCCACTTTTAGGTTGTGCTTTTCTTTCAGTTGACACAATGGAGACCTCCGAGGAAACTATGGGATACTTGAATATGGTGGTGGGGTTGGGGGTGACTGGGAGGCTGGAAATGGAGGGATGCATACAGAAGACACAAAGGATAACTACCCCATACCCAGGGCAGGACTAGGAGAAGAAAAGGGTGCGAAAACTATCAAGCCTTACTCTGCCGTTTTAAGCCTCAGTGCCACCACTAAGAAGGCAAACTTAGGACCAAAATGGCGAGGGAAACAAGTTATGTTTCAGCCACATTGAATTTACATGAAGATGGGCCTTTGAGGCAAAATTTTTCAGAACTCTTTCAGAGCTGTGCTTCTGAAATTCAGGCCAGATAATGAGACATGGAGACAGAAGAATCAGGAAGATGTCATTCCTAACCAACGATGTGGCCTGGGTGCTCTGTTCCACATGTGCACCACGACCCTTAAACCCCTGGGGAAAAAAAAAAGAATCATTCTTTCTCAGACTTCAGACACACCTTATAGTCCTTTTCCTTACAGATCCGTCTTCTAGGATTAATTCTTTCTACCATATTGAAAAGATATGATCAGCTTATAAGGGAACATCTAAGGGAGTATTTTTCAGATGTGAAGTTTGGGGTGACCTATGAGCAAGCCCAGTAGGGAGGAAAGGATTGTAATCAAAACTGACTTGCAGGTGTGATGGGAGGGCCTCCAGAGTCTGCTGTCTGCAATGTGCTTACAGCAAAGAAAGGGACAGCAAGGGAGAAAAGAAGATCAAATTCAGGCCACTGACTTTTCTGCATCTTTTTGCTGTTCCTCTCA